CAGTGACACGATTCTGCAATGGATATGCAGTGATCCGAGAATAAGAACATGTTGTTACCAAACATCTTTGGTATAGCAATTAAACGCAAATTTAAAAGCAATGTACAAACATCTGGTGCACAACACATGCAGCAGGGTATTAGCTGGCGAGCCACGTCACCATATTTTCGACGGCCTATTTTCATACTAGACGGTCAAATTTACTACCAACGGCTGCCGACGCCCCACACTTATTTTAGTGAATAAATTTATGATAAGCACGATTTTTACTTACACGTTTGTACTTACTTATTCTAAAGAAAAGGCTATGTCATTATTTATAATCTGCGAAATTCTAGGAGATGACCGTAAACAAAATCCCCAACTAGGTAGCATTATTATAGAATGTCAAACAAACCACACAATTTTAAAACGTTATGGGATCTCTTAATGTACAAAAGTAGCTTCAAACATCACCATTTAGGTACAAAAAAACCTAGGGTCCATACCCTCTGCGCTTGCAATGGTAGGAAACAATTATTCCAGTCATTTGAGACATACACTTTCTCAATCCTAGCCAATACCCTAAAATGTAGTCTATCCACTCATATGTGATGTACATAAGTTGAACATGAACTAATTGCATAAATAACTGTAAATTTCTGTCAATAAACATCAACTGTTCTTCTGGTACTAATTGGACTCCATAATATATTCCAAGCAAGATTATGCTTGACGTTTTGACAGTTTACATGCCGTCTGCTAAACAACACATGTACAGTAAATTCACATACATTCTAATACTATAAGTTTAACTACAATGTATTTTAACTGAATAAAGGTAGAGCATTTTAAATAACATATCACAGAATGCAATTGCATTCTAAATATAGCCTATAGGTAGCTTTTTAATATTAATTTTGTTATTAATATTAGTGATATTACTATTAATTCCACAACCTAAACTGATTTTATGCCTCGAGAATGACACTCCCTCCAAAATATTTTACATATTTCTTTACAGTAAAATTAAACGCCGTTAGAAATCGTTACAAGAGACATCACAATGGTGATGGTTTCTGACTGTACACGGAAGTACAATGACAGAATATTCTAGACAAACTGCGCATGACCAGTAGAGGCTACTGTCTGTACTGTTGGCTATGGTGACGAAAGATAGCAGTTTAACGTCTAACTACACTCATATTCATCATTATTATTGGCTTTAAATCCGTAATACAAGTACCACGATACATAAAAATCATTTATCTGTACATTATTATTGAATATAATCCTTACCTGTGTTGTATTTACTTCATCTTCTGCAGACACAATCTCCTGAGCTCGCAACGCCACAGACCGCCGTCACTCACTGATTTTGCGTGGTCACAACAAAACGAATCACGTGACATGGATGGGGCGACTTTGTTTACAGGGGGTTCGGCGTTTGGAATACCGCGTTTGCCATTCGTTCATGCGCGTCACGTACATAGGGAGTTTACGTGATAAAAGCAGGTGTTACGAACGAATGTACTATGTATAGGTCTAACATAAAATGCACATTTAGCCCTGAGATGGAAGTACAGTAGTTGATAGCCTCGAAAGATCCGTTTACCAATTTTCTTGTCTGTGCAATTTAGCATACATATAGGAAGAAACATATATGTACAGAAACGTGACAAAAAACTATTATTTTTATCTGTGTACATTTATTGATCCGATAAAGTAATATGGAATAGGTAGGTATACAGGGCCGGTGGTTTGTAGCACTCATCAGAATTTCAGCACTAGCCAAAAATTTAAATTGTCCAAAGCTCAAAATTAATTCGGACCAGAAAGCGATAATTATACTGAGATTCGATTTTTGTCTATATTGTCCTTCTAAAAATTCTTCCAATTGCTGTAAAAGTAACGATTTTCTTTGAATGTTGAAAATTTCATGAAAGAAAAGCTCTAGAACGTGATGATAAATAAGCTGATGTGATATATATATATATATCCGTTCGTACAGATACAATTAGATATGATATTTATATAAGATCAGGAGCGTATAATGACAAATATTGTCATTATGTGACAATTTGGGGGGGGGGCACTCACCCCACATTATGGTAGGTAATAGGTATGTGCCACTGCTAAGTCAAAAATGGTGGGGGGGGGGCTCTGGAACTAGAGGTGTTATATCAGTGCTCTAAGATTTGGAATGTGTATTTAATATGACAACGTGCTTATTCAAATTCAAACTTCAAAACATACAGATGTACATAGTGAAAGTATAAATGCAGATTGAAAATAGGCTTATTTTTCATAATTATGTACTGATAGTATATACAATTTTGTAAATAATGTTTTATTAGTTATCATACTCATAATATATATTTTAGATACTTTAGTGAAAGCTTTAGCTACATTCCTCTTTGAAATTTACAAATTGACCTTTTAAAATGATCAGAATTGGTTGCTTTTAACATAGCCTGAAAATGCAGGAAATGCCATTTCCAGGCTCTACATTTCAAAATATTTCTGGAAGAGTTCCCCCAGGCCCCCGGCATCGGCTACATATATGCAGTGGCATTTTTGGGAGGCCACTACGGCCCTGTTATGACCATTAATAACATTAAAGTTGGGAACACTCCTAATGGAGTATCACCATCACCCCGAATTATTGAAAATGTACATACGCAATTAATATACAATCGGCAAAGAAATCCTCTAACGTGTCCATTTTTATTGCTCAGAATATAAGAGCCCTGCTGCGCATTCGGTTATCGTCCAGGTGCGTCAGTAAGTGAAATGTGGTATAATTTATATAGGCTACATATCCATCTTTGTTTAAAAAATAAAATGCCTATTATAAACGCGTTTCGTTGCCTTGAAAAATTGCCCACTTATCAAGTCGTGTTTTAAAATCCAATAAGCGGTTTCTAAAGAAATATAGCACCCCTTAGTAAATTCGATGCTCACTGAATATTTAATATTGTAACCTCCCTATAATTTGTAAAATATAATGGATTCAATACGCGACCATGTGCATGACTTGATATCTATCGGGAGACTAGTAAGGAAAGTAGTTTTATTTTCACAGCCAACAGCAGATTTTACTGAGTGTCCCTTCTGGGAAATTTTTATTTATTAATTAATCGAATAAAAATACATATTTACCAAATAAAGAATATCGAAAATATCTAGAACAAAAACTAATACAGTAGCTGTAAAACTGATTCAGCACCTACATGTCTTCTGCTGACCTCGGCAGTTACAGTCATATGTGTCATATGTCTGAAAACGACGTCTCGATCCATAGGTTGAACAAGATTGACTCTATAACCATTTCGTAAAATTACACTTGTGTGTGACTGTATATAGGCCCTATGTGGCACTAAGTTGAACTATCAGCTCAATTGTCATTATACATTTTATATATATATATATATTGGTTTTATTTTGATTATGTGTTTCCTGAAATAATAATTTTTAACGGAAGTTTGTCTGTGGATCGTTGGTTGATACTCCATTAGGAGTGTTCCCAACTTTAATGTCATTAATGGTCATAATAACATATATATATATGGTCATGGTCATATATTAGTTTGTAGTTTAATGTCATTTAGGTTAGGGTTAGGGTTAGGGTTAGGGTTAGGATTATCAATCATTAATCATTAATGATATCAAAGTTGGGAACACTCCTAATGGAGCGTTAGCCGGATCGTTGGCTGCTTGCATGCTTACTTGCTTGATCGATGGGTCAGTCGGTCGGTCGGTTTGTCGGTTGATTGGTTGGTTATTTATTTAGTTGGTTTGTGGCTGGTTGGTTGGTTGTTGCTTGCTTTGTTGCTTTGCTGCTTTGTTGGTTATGGGTTAGTTTTAGTTCGGGTTTAGTTATATTTCGAGTACACGCAGTCAACTCTCCCAATGCCGACCACCCACGGGACCGTCAATTTAGTTCGGTTTTCTATAAGTTTGTTAATATGGGACCTATGCCAGGCATATCTTACATATCTCAGATGGTGTTGGTCCGGTTTAACATGAGGTTCGGTTTTGAGGGCGTTCGGAATTTGAAGAGTTGACTGTAGTATACGCTTTGTTTGGAACAACGGCAAGTTCGTATGTTGGTGTAAAAACGAATCCTGGAAATGCATTGCAGTTCCGGGAAAAGCATTTGCAGCATACCTTTAGTCTTTTATTTATTATTCTGCACGATTTTTTCACGCTTCACGTTTCCACGCTGTGTTTATTTTTCTGTGAAGTAAATGGTGGTTGTTGGAGCACCAATCGTGTGAGAAGAAGAATATACTGAATAACATCAATAATAGCAATGAACAGCAAATAAATTCACATTAAGTTGATTTTTTATATGAACAATTCAAAATCGATCTGCTCAAAAGTTTTGATTTTATCTCATCTATATTAGTATTCTATACTGAATATATGCACAGTTTGATCGTCAATGTGAATAAAAGGAGGTGCGTCTTGGATAGCACCACTTCGAAAACTACTGACCCCACTAATCTTTGATCTATTTCGATCCACTAATATAAGCGTATTTAACGTATCACAAAAAAGCTAACAAATTACCTAATCGGCATCTTTCAAACTACACTGAATTGCACTATACTACACAACTATACATACAAGAGAAGACATCTATATATACATACAGTCAATCTAATAAAGGAAACATGAAAAGTGTGAGTATACTTAGCCACTGCTGCTAATTAACTAGCATTATGAAATATCGTCAATTGCAGCTTAATTCAGAATAAAATTAGTAGCCTATATAATAATGTTGATAGGTATAAGTATAAAAGCAATTTCTTGCAAACCAAGATTGAGCATTAAGAGTATATAGCACAAGTGATCACCAGCTAAGCTTCAACTATAGCCTATATATATATATATATATATATATATATATATA